GAGGACTATGGAGGCCTGGTCCACCGAGAGGAGAGACCCCCAGAAAATTTTTAGGGGGGGGCTCACGACGTCGGGGCAGAAGGTGTACGGCCCGGAGGAGTGCAAGAGGTTGGCAGATATGGCCGCCAGTTTAAGGGGGCCACTGGTTACGAAGGGGATGGAAAGTGTGGAGGCACGGCGAGAGGTACTGGGGGGTGTTTCCAGTCCGGTCCGGCCCGTTCCTGATCCCCGTGTAGGGCCAGGGGTGTGTGTCCCCAGTGCGGTTCTGTCTGTCCCTGCTCAACGCACCAAGCCTACGGGGTGCGTCGCCAGCCCAGCTCGGCCTGTTCCTGCGCCCCGCACCAAGTCTGTGGTGCGTTTCGCCAGCCCAGCCCGGCCTGTCCCTGCTCAACGCACCGAGCCTACGGGGTGCGTCGTCAGCCCTGTCCAGCCAGAGCCGTCCGCCAGACAGGATCAGCCAGAGCCTTCCGCCAGACAGGATCAGCCAGAGCCTTCCGCCAGCCATGAGCAGCCAGATCCTTCCGCCAGCCATGAGCAGCCAGATCCGTCAGCCAGCCATGAGCAGCCAGATCCGTCAGCCAGCCATGAGCCGTCCAGCCAGGATCCGCCAGAGCCGTCCAGCCAGGATCCGCCAGAGCCGTCCAGCCAGGATCCGCCAGAGCCGTCCAGCCAGGATCCGCCAGAGCCGTCCAGCCGGGATCCGCCAGAGCCTTCCAGCCGGGATCCGCCAGAGCCTTCCAGCCAGGATCCGCCAGAGCCGTCCAGCCGGGATCCGACAGAGCCTTCCAGCCGGGATCCGCCAGAGCCTTCCAGCCAGGATCCGCCAGAGCCGTCCAGCCAGGATCCGCCAGAGCCGTCCAGCCGGGATCCGCCAGAGCCGTCCAGCCGGGATCCGCCAGAGCCGTCCAGCCAGGATCCACGCACCAAGCCAGGGGCGCGTGTCGTCAGTCCGGTTCCGGCCAGCGGGGCTAGGCAGGACCAGGGGTACTTTGGGGGGTTGGAGAGGAAGTGGGGAGGAAGCCCGGAGCCGGAGCCGCCACCGAGGAGGAATGCCCACCCAGCCCTCCCCTGTTTGCTTGTAGTTAGGCGCGGTCGCAGTCCGCGCCTTTGGGGGGGGGTACTGTCACACTCTGGTTCTAGGACTTTTTGTGTTTAGTCAGGGTGTGTAGATTTCCGTGTGTTGTGTACTGTGGGTAGTGTCTAGGTGTTCGCGTTCTATGTTTGGTCAGTGACTCCCAATCGGAGGTAACGAGTGTCAGCTGTCGGCTCGTTATCTCTGATTGGGAGCCATATTTAAATGTCTGTGTTCACCTTGTGGTTGTGGGTTTTTGTTCTTTATTCATTCGGTGTAACTGAGGACGTCACAGATCGTGTTTTGTTTTGTCGTGTGTTTCAAAATTAAAATCATCATGTTCACTCCCAACGCTGCGCTTTGGTCATACTTCATTGGCGATCGTGACACTCCTGAACAGCTAATCATGGCTACCCGGACTATTTGCACTGCCCCCCCACCCCATCCTTTTACGCTGCTGCTACTCTGTTAATTATTTATGCATAGTCACTTTAACTCTACCCACATGTACATATTACTTCAACTACCTCAACTAGCCGGTGCCCCCGCACATTGACTCTGCACCGGTACCCCCCTGTATATATAGCCTCCCTACTGTTATTTTATTTTACTTCTGCTCTTTTTTTCTCAACACTTTTTTTGTTGTTGTTTTATAAATAAATGCACTGTTGGTTAAGGGCTGTAAGGAAGCATTTCACTGTAATGTCTGCACCTGTTGTATTCGGCGCATGTGGCCAATACGATTTGATTTGATTTGATTTGATTTAAGGATGGAAATTGGATGCACCTGAGCTCCAATTTGGTGTGTCATGTCAAAGGGCTGTGACTACTTACACTACCAGTCAAAAGTTTGGACACACCTACTCATTCAAGGGTTTTTCTTAATTTTTTATATTTTTTACATTGTAGAATAATAGTGAAGACATCAAAACTATGAAACAACACATATGGAATCATGTAGTAACCAGAAAAGTGTTAAACAAATCAAAATATAGTTTATATTTGAGATTCTTCAAATAGCCACCCTTTGCCTTGTTGACAGCTTTGCAAACTCTTGGCATTCTATCAACCAGCTTCATGAGGTAGTCACCTGGAATGCATTTTAATTAACAGGTGTGCCTTCTTAAAAGTTAATTTGTTGGATTTATTTCCTTCTTAATGCGTTTCAGCCAATCAGTTGTGTTGTGACAAGGGAGGGGTGGTATACAGAAGATAGCCCTATTTGGTAAAAGACCAAGTCCATATTATAATAATAATAATAATATGCCATTTAGCAGACGCTTTTATCCAAAGCGACTTACAGTCATGCGTGCATACATTTTTGTGTATGGGTGGTCCCGGGGATCGAACCCACTACCTTGGCGTTACAAGCGCCGTGCTCTACCAGCTGAGCTGAAATAAGCAAAGAGAAACGACACTTTCAAGTTTCTTCAAGTGCAGTTGCAAAAACCATCAAGCGCTATGATGAAACTGGCTCTCATGAGGACCGCCACAGGAATGGAAGACCCAGACTTACCTCTGCTGCAGAGGATAAGTTCAATAGAGTTACCAGCCTCAGAAATTGCAGCCCAAATAAATGCTTCACAGAGTTCAAGTCACAGACACATCTCAACATCAACTGTTCAGAGGAGACTGTGTGAATCAGGCCTTCATGGTCGAATTACTGCAAAGAAACCACTACTAAAGGACACCAATAAGAAGAAGAGACTTGCTTGTGCCAAGAAACACGAGCAATGGACATTAGACCGGTGGAAATTTGTCCTTTGGTCTGGAGTCCAAATGTGAGATTTTTGGTTCCAACCGCCATATCTTTGTGAGATGCTGTGTGGGTGAACGGATGATCTACGCATGTGTATTTCCCACCGTAAAGCACGGAGGAGGAGGTGTTATATATGGGGGTGCTTTGCTGGTGACACTGTCTGTGATTTATTTAGAATACAAGGCACACCAGCATGGCTACCACAGCATTCTGCAGTGATAAACCATCCCATCTGGTTTGGGCTTAGTGGGACTATCATTTGTTTTTCAGCAGAACAATGACCCAACACACCTCCAGGCTGTGTAAGGGCTATTTTACCAAGAAGGAGAGTGATGGAGTGCTGCATCAGATGACCTGGCCTCCACAATCCCCCGATCTCAACCCAATTGAGATGGTTTGGGATGAGTCGGACCGCAGAGTGAAGGAAAAGCAGTTAACAAGTGCTCAGCATATGTGGGAACTCCTTCAAGACTGTTGAAAAAGCATTCCAGGTGAAGTTGGTTGAGAGAATGCCAAGAGTTTGCAAAGCAGTCATCAAGGCAAAGGGTGGCTATTTAAAGGTTCTCAAATATAAAATATATTAGATTTGTTTAACACTTTTTTGGTTACTACATGATTCCATATGTGTCATTTCATAGTTTTGATGTCTTCACTATTATTCTACAATGTAGAAAATAGTAAAAAATAAAGAAAAACCATTGAATGAGTAGGTGTGTCCAAACTTTTGACTGGTACTGTATGTAAATTAGATGCTTCTGTATTTCATTTTCAATAAATGTGCTAACATTTCTAAAAACATATTTTCATTTTGTAATTATGGGGTATTGTGGGTGTATATGGGTGAGAAAATAAATATATTTAATCTATTTTGAATTCAGGCTGTAACACAACAAAATGTGGAATAAGTCAAGGGGTATGAATACTTTCTGAAGGCACTGTACTTTACTCGCATTAAAAGATTGGATGGAAACCTGGTTTCTGTGATTGTTTTCAATTAAAATGGTAAAAAGAAACAAAAATAGCTTAGCAAAAAGCAAGAATTTTGCTAGGACTGTGTGGGAGTGGTCTGAGTGGGGAGGGGAAAACTAGCTGTTATTGTCAGAGAGGTTTGGAACTCTCTTTCTTAGTGGTCTATCCACTCATTTACAGGTGGTCTTTTCAAACAGCTCTTAGACAAAAGGGCATTATCATAATCTTAACAATTTCACAGTATTATTCCAACCTTATAGTGTGGAAATATATATAAAATACAGGACAATCACGTTTTTGACTACCCTGGTCCTTTAATATCTGAAATCTGCCTTTTAAAAAAGCCATAGCTCATCTTCATATCGCACGCATTATTCGTATGATCTCAGCCAAAAGGTCAGACAGGTTGATATAAGATGTGATAGAAAAGTGCGTCATAGAATTTGTTTTATATACACCGCCTCATTAACCATTGACGGAGACAGGCTCCAAATCCATCTGGTATTAAAGATCACCAAAAGAACAATAAATAATTGTCTGAGTTTCATCCAGGTCAACTCAAATCTTGAGAGACTGATTCATATTTGATTGGAAAGTCTTAATGATGGCTGCACAATTAGTCATATGCATAGTCATTATGGAGCGAAGACATCTGCAGCAAGACAGCAGTGACTGCATCACTCGGCAAGATTAAGGCCTATTGCATTATTGTCAAATTATTTCCAAACGTGCAGATTATCACCTTAGTCTTTTATCCATGAACTAAAATGTGAGAAAAAATTGGACAACGTGTTTTAATGAAAAGGGCATTTTAGACAGCTTTTCTGATGTGTGAAACTTCATCTCATTTTTCGACTTTTAATGTCATTATAAGCAACCCATTTGGAGTATAACCTAAATAAACTGATTTAAATGCAGATGTAGGGCTACAAATGCAATAGGAAAATAGGAAGTTAACTTTTGATTTAATGGGACATCAAAAGGGGCTAGTCCACAATGCAAGAGGATGCATGGAGCTTTATGAAGATGTTTTATTAAATGAAAATAAATACATGTGCTTATACTTCTAGAAGACAAAGGAATTCAAGACAGTCATACATGCAGACTGACATTTACATTGGTAACGGTATAGGTGCATGGGGGTGTCACAAGCCCGGGTCTCGGAAATGTGCGCCTGAGGGGATATTTCTGTGACCTGGGTCAATAACAACGCAGGAAGAATGTGTTGCATGCGGTGCCTCGCAGACAGTCACAAAGCCTTCCGATGCGCGGCCCGTGCTTCATAGCGCACCGCTCTCCAACATCACACTGTAAATATGAGAGAGGAGAGAGAGTATAGCAAAATTCGTTAGGTCCTACTTTCACATTTCTGTTCCCAAATAAAAGCATATTCAATGTAACAGACAGCTTCTGACAGCACCATAGGCTATGTTGGCTCTCCAAATATATGGCTCTGGTACAACCTGTTGCGCTCATTCAGTTGTGCATCAGGTGCGTTTTTGAACTGAGAGATATAAGGTAGATGTGAAAATACGAAGGTTATTCTTGACTTAATTTACTTACCCGTGGAATGAGACTTGCTTTTTTCTCCACTGATAGACCTATCCTGTTGTCTTGCTGCCCGCCTTCCAGAAGCCCCTCGAGCGCATCGGCCTGAAAAAAGTCGCCAATAAAGATTATTAGAACCATCTTCATTATCAACCCAAAAGAATATTGCATGGCATCTATTTTTCGACATTAGCTTGAAGGGGGAACGATAGAATCGGCTACTTGACATTGGGCAAGAATGGGCACAAATGTATCATGTAGATAACATATAGCCTACATAGCTAATTTGAATACATAAGGTAAAAGTAGACTATCCTCCATCTCTATCACAGAGTAGTCACACATTCGTTGATGGCAAAAACAAACTGTTTTATCCTAAAATCCTGAAGAATGACCCCCAAAAAAGTAAATGAGTAAATTCGACTCACCAAATGTCTGGTGACATATCCCAGTGGAAAGTGTTCCTCTTGTGAAGAGAGTCTGTTATCGGGTGACATCTGCCCCTGGCAGATAACGCTGAAGACAGACATACAGACGCCCAGGTAGACGACTGTTCGGACCCTGATGCTGTCCATTGTGCTAAAAATCTTGCGCTTGAACTGAGAGGACGCGAAACAACTCGAACTTCAGCAAAGTTCTCTTGGCAACTATCCGTAACTTTGGTATTATTATCTCCCTCTCTATTTCGTAGCTCAGGTCCTCACTCTTCTGCTCATGGGTGCTGCACTTGCTTCTGTTGTTGCTTGGAAACTTCTCTATTTATACAGAATCAGCCCTGTGCTGCTCCCATTTCGTTCGAACGTCATCACCTTGGTCTTCTCAGACGTTGTTTTGCACGGATTGGGTGAGATGGGTATCTCAATGATATTAAACATTCACGCCAAACCAAGGAATTCATCCACCAGGGTGAACCTTTAGGAGCCGCGGAAAGTAGTTTGGGGGTGCTGCGATTTTTGGGGGTGGGGGGAGGGGATGCTCTACCAACTGAGCCACATCATCACATCGCATCATCACAAACCACTTCATGTCTCAAATGTACTCATGGTGATGGAAAATCTACAGGTACCAAACCTGGATGACCAGCCAATGTACAATACAGTAATGTACATTTACATTAAGTGGTTTGTAAGGATGGTAAATTAATACTGCGCAAAAAGTGGTTGTTTTCCATGTTATTTGATCAAGAAAAATATTTAATTTGATGTGGATGTTTTGTGTCTTTGCCCATAACTTTGCACCTTTTTATGTAAATGTTTGAGGACAGGGCTTTGTTCTTTCTGGATCTCATTAAAATGATAATAGCAGAGAAAGGGACAGGGAAACAACTCTTACAATTCCAACTATTGAATCCTGCAAGACACTGTTCTTAATTATACAACTACCTTTTTTTGCCAAAGGGGAGATGCTGATATTTTTTTTTGCCCGCGCTATAGACATCTATATCTGTCCGTGTACTACTTTTGTGCTGCAGCACCCTCAGCACCCCTACTTCCAGAGACTATGAGCCTCTCCATATATGACCGGCAGGTTTATATCATGCCTTCAAAGTTGCAGCCTGGCCTCAAAGACGTAACATAGTAAACGTAAATCTGTGCCACCCAAATTAGTATATGTTACTTTGTTATGGTTACATAAGACAGCAGGCTATTTTAGCTTAAAACAAAAAGAGGGAGGTTGGTCGGGGAGGATGGACGGGCATATAACACGAACGTCTAGCAACCCAAAGGTTGCATGTTCGAATCACATCACAGACAATTTTAGCTCATTAGCAACTTACTACTATTTAGCTATTTAGCACGTTAGCTAGCCCTTCCCCTACCCCTAACTCCTAACCTTAACCCTAACCCTAACCGTAACCTTAACCCTAACCTCTAACCCTTACCCCTAGCCTAGCTAACGTTAGCCACCTAGCTAACTCTAGCCACAACAAATTGGAATTCGTAATATATCAATAGTATTTCAAATTCGTAACATATTATATGAATTGCAATTCATAAACGTACTGTATCATACGAATTGTAATTCATAATATATCATACGAAAAGGATGATGGACATCCACAAATTAATTCATACAAAACGTAACATATAATACTAAATGGAGGGAGACAGATTCACATTTACTATGTTGCGTCTACCACTGAGTCCAGGTTGAAAGAGAAGTCACCATTCTGAATAATGCTTTATGATTTATGTTGTTCTCATTTCTTCAATTGGCAACAGCCCGAAGGAAGGAAACTGCAATATGCCTAGTATAAACGCATATCAAGCACAACTTAATTTGCCATAGTTTCATTTTGATGAATTATGTTAATTAACTTATGGCTCACTTGGAAATAAAATGCCTTCTGATACCATCCCGAATAGGACGAGATTGTGTAATATAGTCTAATATGAGATTACTGATAATCTCATTGTCAGTCAAAAGTGACCTACACCTGTGACCCATAGTCACCTTTACAATAGGCATAACTGACATTATTAAATTAAATGCCATATTACTCTTATATATTTAGGCCTAAATGCACATTAGGGGTTTATGGATGTTTCTCAATGTTGTGTGACTGACTCTGCCTATAGTGCGTAAAGCACCTAAGCAAGTGACACTCTCCCATATGTAATTTGCTAGGATACTTAATGCATGGCTCCCTTGGATCCCTTGCGTTGACGCTTGAATTATTGCCTCTGTGGAATGTCCTCTGTTTCTTTAATGATATTCTAGTATGATTGAATCCAATAATTATCTGCTAGTGTGTATGGGCAATCAAGGCTACGGTTAGAGAATAGGTTGACCATGAATGTCAAATGACTCAATCTATGGTGTCCAAGAGATATATCCTAGGCCTAGACAATATCTGAGTAAATTCTGGTCCGTAAACAACTTGCCTACAATCAATACAATACCAAAAAAAGTTTCCTCAAAGCAAATCTCAAAGGAAGAGCGCCGGTGTCAGGTGCACAGCTTGTTTCAGAGAATGAGGGCAAGTTGTGCGTTCCTCAGATTTAGTACGGCGCGTTGGAATTGGACTCCCGGGGAACGTTAAATGCGGCCATGCATGCACTGGTCTCTCTTCGAATTATGGCTTTGATGAGTTAGAAAGCAGCTTGCGCTTTGTGGAACTCCAAGTGCAAGGAGCCTCAGGCCTCTATGGCGCGCATCACGTGGGTCCATCTTATATTAGACCTATAAGTTGTAAACACGTCTACAGACTAGACCTCCGGGTCTGTAACAAAAGTAGCATATTATCCTTTCTTGGTTCATGAGGATTGCACAACAGGTGCTAGAGAACGTAACTGAAGCATCACACAAGCACAAGCTTTCTGGAACATTGTGCTATGAACATTTTAAGTATGAAACAGTATTTCTGTATCATGTTGAAATGAGTCAAATGCCGAATCAAACATTTTAGGAACATCACAGTTGATAGATACATAATAATTTGACATTTTAGTAATTTAGCAGACGCTCTTATCCAGAGCGATTTACAGTTAATGAGTGCATACATTTTCATACTGGCCCCCCGTGGAAATTGAACCCACAACCCTGGCATTGCAAACGCCATGCTCTACCAACTGAGCTACACAGGGCCTACACGGGGCCACTGCAGAAGGTCTAGCTCAAGGATCCCTCTCCATCACCAGGGCGTAATTAAGTTCATACTTTCCTGACACTCCCCAGCCACAGACGCGTGAAGGTGGAAACGGGACTGCAGTGTTGAGCCATGATGGATGTCCATTGGGAAAGTGGCTACAGGTGATATGCAATTAGCACTTGGTGAGTAGAAAGGCACACGCTGTTGTGCAAGTGACTTGGACTTTCACATTTGGCCACCTTAAGGCTGCTGCTATCCATTGTTGACTAATTGACAGGTCAAGTAAAGGTGTAAGTAATGAAATGATTCAGTGATTCCAGAGTGAACCGATTGGCCTCATCACAGTGGTTCTTGGATTAATGTGGTAATTGGGGTTAATTTGGGAATTTGGATGTGGGGGAGCCCTAGGAGGGGTTAGGGTAAGGGTTGAGCCAGGGTTCATCAAAGGGGTTAGGGTTATACCAAGATTAGGGTTAGGCTTGAGGCAGAGTGTGGACCAAGGTTCCAGGGTTCCGGTCTAGAAGCACGGTTTTGACTGCTCTGTCACACCCTGATCTGTTTCACCTGTCTTGTGCTTGTCTCCACCCCCCCACCAGGTGTCTCCCATTTGTTCCCATTATCCCCTGTGTATTTATACCAGTGTTTTCTGTTTGTCTGTTGCCAGTTCGTCTTGTCTCGTCAAGCATACTAGCGTGTTGTTCCGTACACTTCTTTTTTCCTAGTCCCTGTTTTCTAGTCCTCCCGGGTTCCGACCTTTTCTGCCTGCCCTGACACTGAGCCCGCCTGTCATACCATACCATTCAGCCTGCCCTGACCTCGAGACTGCCTGTCGCCCTGTACCTTTAGGACTCAGACCTGGTTTACGAACATCTGCCTGTCCTCGATCCGCCTCTTGCCTGCCCCTTGTATTTAAAAAAATATCAGAGACTCAAACCATCGGCCTCCTGTGTCTGCATCTGGGTCTCATCCTGTGTTGTTAAATACTCCTAAGGTTATGCTTCTGTACTGCAGTTTAACTGATGCTGGCCCATAGACGGCCACATAGAGAAGTCAGATTAGAAAATTCCTAATAAGACACTTTGGTCATCACCTTTGTGCACAAAACATCCATTGCATTATTCAAATAATTGTAGCTGAGGCTGATACCATGACTTTTAAACAATGACGTTGATTCAAGCAAATATATTTTATATGAGGTTCTTCAAATAGTCACCCTTTGCCTTGATGACAGCTTTGCAATATAAAATATATTTTGATTTGTTTAACAATTTTTTGGTTACTACATGATTCCATATGTGTTATCATAGTTTTGATGTCTTCACTATTATTCTACAATGTAGAAAATAGTAAAGATAAAGAAAAACCCTTGAATGAGTAGGTGTGTTCAAACTTTTGAATGGTAGTGTATGTCTAATCAAATCTCAAATTCAACATAACTTCAACAACCCAATTGATTCTAGGATGATTTTTTTTTAAACGTTTCTATGTGGAATTTTCTATGCAATTTCTACATTTACATAGTTCTGATGATTATTTTGAAATTAGATTGATGTAACAACTTGTTAGTCAGCTTAAGCCAATTAATTTAAGTTTAAGCTTTACCCTAATTTCAATGTTTACAACGCTGGTTGAAATGAGATAATAACAGTACTGGTTGATTACTTATTTCAAATCCAATGTCTTTTCCACGTTGATTCCACATCACAATACATTGACAAATTACATTGAAACAACGTTGATTCAACCAGTGTGTGCCCAGTCTTTGACGTAGAGATCTAATGCTGTGGATTGTACCCGTGAACCGATCACAACCCAGCCAAGCAAGCCCCATTCCCCAATGTATCTCTTTAATTTCAGCAGACAAGTGGTGTGGTAGTGGGTGGTGATAGTGTTAATGAGCCATCAATGCAAAGAAAGCAATTAAATCCCTTCTATTCATCCATTCTCCACGATAGACAACCGCTGCTCTGATTTACAATGGCA